TTCTCGTTTCTACGTTATACACAGCTAAGATCGGAACCAACGTCAAAAATAGTCCGGCATTTCCATATATGGTACTGTAATTGTCACTTACATAATGCGGAAGTTTCAATCTATTGAAGCGTATTCGCGCTTCAAGATTGCGTGTATTTTAGGGAGAAATTGGGTATGTATATAATAAATAAATATTGGACTTTAACAATCTCCTTACAATTCATTTTGCAACTTCAAAAGTAGTACTTCTTCAGACTTGTGTTTACTACAGATGAAAACTTAAAAAATCGTTTGAATGATTAAGATGTTGCCGAGTGTATAAATGAAATGATTTAATTGAGCCAAGGGCACGCACTCATCACATGGTAAACCTATAACTTTTCAACATATATACCCCGAAATAAAGATGATAAAAATAGTAAATTCTGGTTTATTTCGAAAAACACACTCAAAATTAAACTTGGATTTTGAATGTTTATACACTTGTTAAACTATGAATATATTTTAGGAGATTCATTTTTGGAAGGAGAATTAATTTCATCATCCGAGCGTGTGTTGTTGTAATGCTTACTTCGTTTTGCAGATGTTACGTATAAACACTTTGTAGTTTGTTTCTAAATATTATAATCTAGTAATATTACAATATGATACTGTACATGATTGTTTTATTGTAAAAAAAAACTTTTTAACATGTTATTTTTGTTAAAAATTACAAACATCAATTGCTTGATAAGTAATACGATATAAAAGAGAAAAATAAATGTTTGTAAATTGTGTTGTTTCTGAATTGAAGGCACTTTACTGAGGTCCAAAAGCATAAAAAATGACACGAAGTGAACGAATGATCTGAAATTTTTGACACAAGTAATTGGTCTAGACCTACATCAAATGAAACAATACTCTCGAAAAATTATGTCCAGTCCTGTCATGTAAAACCACCTCAGTGGAGTCCCTTTCACAATTACTTGGAACATTGTGTTAATGGGCTGACATTGTGTAGACAAAATTAGAATAACTTTACTAGAGAAAATGGACTTATCTAAATGAAATAAATTTTAAATAACAAAATTCATCATCGTTTGGGATGATCAAATTTTAGTTACACCGGAAAACATATTACTTAAAAACAATGTGAGTAAGATTACTGGTTTATATTTCATATGTTATTGTATGTTTATAATCTTGTGAAACAAGTATCATTCATCTCCCCGCCCCGGAAACCTTAGTAGGCGACTCTTGTAATAGAGAAAAATAACTCCCATAACGACAATTGTTTGATTAAGACTTTTAAGAAAAAAGCAGAAATCCCTGAAGAACCTGTCCAAATGTGCAAAATTGAAAATGTTGCAGACCCAGTTTGATTTAGCCTGTTTATTGACGGTACTGGAAAGTGCAAGTTACCATCCAAGGCCCCTAGCACCGACTTCAGCAGTTTATCATGTAAATGGCCTGGTGACATTTTTAATTCATTAACCCTTTACCTGCTGTAACTTTAAGTGTTTAGTCTTTGGCACCGTTAAAAATTCAGGCCAGCCTGCATTTCCATAAAATCTGACCATGCTCTATACTGTTGGTAGCTCACCATTTGTATTTTGATATTGTAATCCCATAATGTTTCTAATGGACAGTTCATAATCCATTTCTAAAATACCTAACGGGTTTAATGGTTTTTGTTTTGTTACGAGAATGCAAGCGTAATTCTTTTAATGCAATTCTTTTAGTAAAAGTATGTTGTTTTTTATACTCAGCGCCTGAATTAGCCATATGTCCGAGATGTATCAGCGTCCATGCCGGTCCACTGTATAAGTCACATCGGGGACGTCTTTTCATGCTGAGTCTTCCCTGATATATTCTTCTTTCTTTTGTGTTGAGTGAAGGTTTCGACAATACTGTCACTTTTCTCGACAGCATCAAACAAACACTGCTCTTGTTAGCGTCACCATCCAGAGTTAGTCACGACAGGTCAACTAATCGTCTCTGGTACTTGAGGCGACTTGACATTGAGCTGCCGTGTGGCTTCTCCGCGACGTGCACGCCTCGGGAGCGATCCTGAGAAGTATAATCTACTTAGTAGTGGACCTCGCTTTTTATGTTTTACTTCAAAAGTATCATACATTGGACTCCGCTTAAGTTTAATCAAATGGACTATTGGTATTATTTTGTTACGTTAGTGGGGTCGTAACATGTGTATTTTCCGTTCTATTGCAGGACATTGCGCCGCTGTGATATATGAACTTGATAATTTAACATGAAGAATGTAGTTATATTTAGAAGGATAACTGTAGTTGTTCAGGTTACCTAGGAGCTAAATGTACCTTTATTGATAAAGTAAACTATTTCTAACATTAATTTAAGTTATACACAACTGTTTTGAAAGTCTGAATCCATGAATATAAGTCAAACCTAATTGACACAATTTGTTTGAGCGAAGGAATACAAACATAACATTAGGTTTAGTGTAAACAAAATACTCGATAAAATGTTTTGATTACCTTTGATAATTGGTATTGTTCGTCTAATTGGTAATGTTGTCGTGACAGTAACAAACGCCACGCAATATTTTTTTCATAAGCAGATGTTGCACTTCCGAAAAATGTCAGTACAGTAAACAAAATAGTTGGTATGGAATGACAACACGTGAACTGGTTAAGGAGTGTTATTGACTAACAACAGCACTCAATGCCAGGGATTTTTTCCCTTTTTCTTCAAATGTGCACGGGAAATATGTGTGCGTAGAAATCTCAAGCATTACACAAAAAGACTGCTCAATATGATCTAAAGTCTATACATTTGACATTAGTATATGTATCACAAAAAAACTCGGAATATTAGAATGACGACTGGCAAAATATAAAATTGTAATGGATCATAATAACCTGAGACCTTAAATCTCGCTGCTCACCATTTAATTTGATTGGTTATAAAGGAGGTCACGATTAAATCTCGTTCACATTTTGAACCCCTTTAAACCATTCCACAAACCGTAATGCTTTTCCACCAAAGGAACATATGGTTCAACCCTGACAGGAAATTATTTCAAGTGTATTGATTATTGTCCTGACTTTATGTGACATTTTGTATTCGAATTATTGCAACGTTCACCGGATGAATTGGTGCAGACTTCTCTAATCAAAGTCATCTTTGTTTGTCCCCCCTTGAATCTCAAGCAGATCACGAGGCAGCTTGTTTATGTCACGATCCATAACTCATGTCAACACAACCTGCACTCCGTTACACCCAAATTTTAAGTAACATTTGTTAGTTACAATTATGTAACCACTTGGAATTTGTGTTGTTCGGTTTCCGTTCTGACCATGACAAGTAATTCGCAAGGGACCTTGGAACCATTGACTTGTTTTGCAGCAGTAGTTTTCATTTTACTTATTTGATCTCTAAAATTAAGAGCTTAATAAAGATACATGTATATGCAATAGACGCTGTCTCAGGATTTGGTTATTGAACGGTGTACTAAAATCCTTTTTACAGAAATACTTATTGCCCGTTTTGAAAAAGAACCGCTTTGGAATTCCGATTCACTTATATTTCATTTTGAAATGAATAACGTGGCATTTAGACCTGATATTGATGCCATTGGCATACTTGTTTGTAAAGGGTACAGTTTCATATTTTAAACTTGATGTACAAATGATTAATCTTCAAAATGCTTTATATTCATGCATATTCGTTTTGCCAAAATTATATATTAATATACGATTTGCATTAGAATGCTACTGAATTTTTACTCGAAATAATCTTAATGAAAGGCAACGATGATCAAAGGAAGCTATGGTTATCGAGAGAAATACGGTAACAATTATCGAGGGAATAACCAAACGACGAAACCTATGATTTCATTTAAATATAGAATGATAATATATAGTATAAATGCTTACCAACCAAGCATTGCATTTTGCGACCGCTGTATACCTATACCCTATATTCACTAAAAATATTAAAACTACCATAATATTTCCAAATATATCTTCGAATTCTGCGTTTCCTCCCTGCATTTTTAATTTGATCCAGGCTCTTTCAAGTTTGTGCCAGGGAAATATTGCTTACCTCCTAAATCAACAGCCCTTCCATAACGACAAGCCCGAGGATGTTTTTTTTTATTGAGGCTGAAGTATTGTTGAACTTAAATGCCCCTGAGCTAAATGCATCAAGCTGATTATGAATGCAACCTGTTAATAACCTATAAAAAATCAAATTAAGAAAGTGTTAATACTGTCAAATGTACTATTTTTAACCGTCTTTGATGAATATAATTATCTTTATTGTATACTCTAATGTCACTGTCATTGTTATTTGAGTTTAATAAAGGTATGTTGTTTTTGTTTTTGTCTTTTGTTGCTGCTGCTGCTGCTGCTGCTGTTGTTGAGGATACTGATGATGATGATAATGATGATGATGAATCTAAGTATGAATGCATTGTTTCTATCAAGGCATTACAAGTTTTTGTCGTCGTTTTTTAGTATGAAATAACAATATTCAGTGTTTATATCCCGAGAAAAAGGAAAATTCATACGATGATTATTCTAATTTAAATAAGTTCGATGAATAAGATAAACAAGCTTGATATTTTAAGTCTACGAAAAGAACATGTTGCTGTCGATTCAGATAAATTGTTACGAGATATCCCTCATTTATTGCAAAGGATATTAATTCAACTAGTCTCTTTTTTCTTGTCTGGACGGTTTGTACTTGTAGTATTGGAGAATCGATTACGTTTTTGGCACTCAACATGCCACAGTATAATGCTAACTTGGAATTCCCCCTGACTCGCGATTAATAAATAAAACAATAGACAACTTTCCTTGTATTTCAATTTTCCGGAACATTGTGATAAGTTGATTAGGAAATGTAAACATGTCACGGATGATGTTTTAAAAAATACAAAAGGAAAAAATCTCTTTAGTTCAAATGCGTTGCAGTCATAGCGACGTTTTACTTCTGTACCATACAGTAACTGCACCATAACGTATATGAGTCATTTATATATTTTTTTTGTATTTTAAATAAAAGAGAACATATCGTTCAGCGTCAGTAGTGTTCCGTCACTGGAGAGTTAACATACCGCAGTATTTTCCTATGATACTGTTGTGAAAGAACGTAACTTACAAAACACCTGGCTTAATTTTTTGCTGTAGGCAGGAACTACAAAATTATTGTGTTAATACGCGAAGGATTTATTTACATCTCGTGATAAGATCTTGTGATTTATATAGTTTTTTGAAAATAGTTTAAACAGAAACATGAAGTGTGATTATTCTAAGACGTTGCTACAGTTTCTCGTGTCGATAGTTTCAATTGGTATGTATAATAATGTATGAATATTCATATTTGTACGTCATCATTCAGTTTTATTTATGCTTAGAACACAACTTTCATTCAAGTTTTATGCTATTAAGAAATATACAGGTAAATCTCTGTGAGGGCTTAGTATCCCCTTTTAAAGTTCAGACAATATCTTTCTTACAAAAGTAAGTAAAGCAAATAAAAATATATCTGTAGAGAGTTTTACCTTATGGCAAAACTACCTTAAGTGCTTTGAAATTGATATATCTTTTATAGTGCATTATATTAATTTTGTAGCAATACAGGTCTGTTGAAATTAAAATGACTAGTACATGTGTACAATTTAAGTTGCTTATTAAAGGCACATTATGCCTCTGAAACGAGTATAATTTACTTCTTTAAAAAAGGAAAACATAAACTTTATAACATTTAATAATAGTTTAAGACAATGTAAGATGCTAATTACCTCACGAATGTAGCGCTAAAATATGGTTCAGGTAATTGGCCAACGAATAATTCTTTTGAATCAATAAAAGTTTATCCAAAATAACAAGCTTTTGAGAAACAAAAATAGAAGCATTTTTGAAGTATAATGGGCCTTTATCTAACTTTAAATCTTTTATTTCAATAATATTCACGTAAATAATTTTGTTTTTAAAAAGTTATCATGATTTACATGATTTATGTTACAAAATGAATAGGCTGATTTTCCAATCTTACATCTCACATAAATACTGTCAAAAGTTTAAAATCAATTTACATACTTTAAAAACATATAAGAGTGAGTAAGTGAGAGGAAATTACACATAAAACGTTTATAAAACGATACTGTGCTAAACTCCCAGCTAGAAGAAATTTGATATAGAAATTTAATTGGATGAATGAATTCGCCAGGCTTTCAAGTATTCAGTAAAACACGTGTGGATGTGGTGCAGACTAGGGTCATAAAGAATTTTACCACAATTTGATGTTCCAACTTGGCTGTATATCAGTTTGCATTTCATATCACATATTTGACACATATATTGTCGCTTGCCAATGGCTTGTCATTTTTTTTTATAAAGTATGAAATATGCAAAAGTGCAGTTTTTATAAATTACACCAGTTGTGAAAAATGTGTTCGTTATAGTAATAGTTCGTATTATCGAAATAGTATACAGTTATTTCATATGTGATTTGGGAACAGTCAAACTGTTGGCCCGAGGTGGAGGGGGTAGTGTTTTGAACTGTTGCCCAAGGCCGTAGGCCGAGGGCAACAGTTCAAAACACTATCCCCGACACCGAGGGACAACTGTTTGACTGTTCCCAAAACACGCATGAAATAACTGTTTTATTACCTGATCAACTACTGTTTTAACAGTATTTGCAGAAGAAAAAATGAACAAGAAAATAGTTTTGCACATATGTTAATAATTAAACGTAATATTTTAACTATGTCACGTCACGTCTGGTTTATGATCAAGATCGATGGACGCTTCAAGTGGGAATCCTCAATGACGTCAATGACGTCAGAACACGAGAGGGAAACAGTCGAAACTATTGACCGGTCAACAGTTCGCGAACGTTGACGTTTTTAGAATTTCAGAAAACAGTAAATAATAACAAATTACATTTATATAAGGTATCAGGTAATAATATTATATATCTATGGCGTCTCAGTCACGACATAACAATGAAATATTCGTAATAACAGTGATTCATCATAACAATCAATGCAATATTTCGCTAAGTGTGTTTTTTATTTTCTTCGTGGATACTCATACAATTGTATTGTTTGACAGTTTCCATCACTATTATGACTTTTTATCGCATTTATACACAGCACTTACAAGACTTCCGCATTAAGTTTTTAATTCAATTCATACCTTAAATGAATCGTCATTGTAAATACTGTTTTGATTATAATTATATTTTTTATATAATTTGTAGCAGTAAAACAACAATATTCATGTTTTGTTTTTTTTATTCTAAACTCGAATTGGTTAGTTTTGTTACACAAAACTTTGTATACAATGAAAATGTTGTTAAAAGTCATTATAAAATTAAAAAATAGCATAATAATTATGAATGTACTAATTGAGGTCTGATGATAAAAAAAAATATCATGCCATTTTGACATTTACTTCTTATCGCTGCTGAAACACAAACAGCCTTCAGAGTTTAAATGAAGCATGTACAAGTTTCATTCTAGTATATAATTACGGAACAGCGGTAGATCGTGCTAGGTAAACAAGGCACCGCCCTTTCACCCGTACCAAAATACATGAAAAACACAAAGGGTAACATTTATTTACCTGTTCTATCTTTCACTTTGAATTTGTAGAAATAGTCTGCTCTCAAATAGTGTGGTAACCGTTTAATTATAAACAAATTTAGATATCAAAACGGAACTCTTCTATAAATATAAGTGCCATATGCTGTCTACAAAATCTACATATTTAAAGCTGCATACCTCAAGATGAATATTTCAAGAAAAATACAAAAAAATACTGAGATTATAAGAAAAATAAAAAGATTCAAGTAGTTATTTTCATGTTTTGTGTGATTTATGACCGGTTTTGTCGTATTTTATATCATCATATTTCTAATGCGGTAGTTACACAATAAAGGCAAGTTGGTAAATTACCTGGGTTTTAGTGCTGTTTACAATGTGAACATTATTTTCTTTGTTCACTTCACAATATTTTACTTTTCAAAATACATGTATTTTCAAACGTTTCATGAAAATTAGCATGCCGCTTTAATGTAACATTTTATTCAACATATTAGGAAAATAGAGTAATTTAACAGAAACATCGTAATGTGTAAATAATGGTAAACAATACATCATAAATATACGTAATTTCATCATTTAAGCGAAATATGTAGTGGTTATATTTTGTTCATGATAGTAGATTTTTCCCCAAGCAAATATTTTAACATAGATATATCAAATATTTTTGCTAGTTTTGCTTGCGTTTTGAGTTATATTTAGTCATATAGATATAGTTAAACTTTTACTATGTGTTTGACGTATTGTGAGATAATACTTTGCCCTAAGCCCATCCGAAATATAGGTTTTTCTATAAAGATATATCAGTTACGATGAAGGAATTTTGATTTTATCTACCTCTCTGTAACATTTTTCTTATTTTATATCGCTTTCTGTTAAAACGTAAGCATAATATTGCAATAAAACTATTTTTATCCAAAATATCTTATATTGCTATAAACAATTAGAATTTATTTCAAGCATCTCACATAAAATATCTGCATGGAATTCACACAAACACGTACTTGTTATTTAATGTTTTTTGCAGAATGTAATAAGATAAGTACCGGTTTCGATACAATTGTTAAAATATTAACCAAATTGTTAAATTGACACAAAATAATGCTTCGGAAATCAGAATGTTTTTAAATACTTTTTTTTTAATTTCCCGCCATGCAATTCAGTTCGCCTTAAATATCAATCGCAACTTTTCGTCTCTTTCTGTCAGTATTCGGAAACGGTTATTTTTGATAAAAACCGATATGTTGATTGCCTCGAATATATCTTTTTGTAAATAAAAATAATAAAATAACTTTCTGACACATGTATGAGTAGACACAATTGAATGTGTACAGAAAAACCAACGACAACGAAAAAAAAACCAAACCACAAGTGTCGTCTGCTTCCGACGAGTAATGTTAACAACTTAATTCGTACATGTATGACATTAATATACAGACGACAATTCATATATTGATTTTGTATATGACACTCACGTTAGCTTTCAACGTTGATGAGGAATTCCCTATGACTCACTTTCATTCATATTTAATTTACTAGACAACATCTGTATTTCAATCCTGTATTGTGTTTTCGTAATTTGTTGATCTAATTATGTAATGCATGTCTACCCCTTTTTTTTACAGTTTTTACGATGGCAGGTTTAAACTCCGTTGAACGGTAGCCGAATTCCTTACGCGCGATACGCAAATGTATTTCTTTAACTGGTATGAGAAACAATAACTACCTTTCCTACAATTTAATACTGACAAGCATATTATATTAATTTTGTAATTTGTATTCGAAATTATGACTCACCTGAAAATGAATGCACTAAGTTACATTTTTTACAGATTATTTACGATGGCAGGTTTAAACTTCCGTCGAACGTTATGCCGAATTCCGTATAAGTCGATATGAAAATGTGATTTAATCTAATTCGGATATTGGATAAAACACACCTTCCCTACAGAGTTAAATACTGAAGCACATATTATCTATATTTAATATGTTTGTTGTAATTTTTGTGACAAGGACAAATAATTCACTGAGCTAACAGTAGTTAGAACATAAAGAAAAAATGTGGCTTTTAGTAGTATTTAGGGAGTTTTGATTAATAATAATTAAATAACGATTTAATGCGCGATGAGTTGAAATATTCACGGATTTTCACAATACTATGTATGAATATACAATATTAGTAAGTACATAATTTACTAAACAAGCACGTTCAAACATGTCAATGTTTATATATAATATGTTTTTTTGTAAGATCTATTTAATTCAACGTTTGCTTGTTACAGAAGTATCAAAATTTCTTTAAGAATTAATAGTTAAAAAGCATCAATCTTTTTTCAATTTTCTGATTGTATACGATTTACGTTGCTATGCTATATGTAGTAAATAATATAAAATGTCTTTTGAAATATAATACTTGTAATGTAATCTTAAATGTCAATTCATGATTGCCATATACTTACAATAATGAGTTTCTGTTTATAATTTGAGTCTCTTTTTTTTGTTCCATTATTAACTTTATCATAATCATGTCAGATATTCAAGGTTTGATCTATGATATTGAAAGATTGTTAAATTTGTAAGTTGAATCAGCTCAATGTTACTCTCTTTTTTTTTTTTAAATTCTGTAATCTTATGCCTTCCAGTAACAGAACTTGGCTAATTGGTTTTATTGGTAGAATTATAAATCCGTTGTTCCGCCGTTAAATTTAACACGTTTCCTTAATTTACTCGATATCCATTTGGT